GAAAGAAAGAGGAAGGAAGAGGCAGCCGTTAATCCCGCCAGGCTTCTGGGCACTGGAGTAGTTGTGGATGACAAAAGTTAATTAGAAACATGAGCAGTTTAACTGAAAACACTTGTGACAATTGGAAGGGCAGCTTCTCCACTTGGAGAAATTTTCCTGGGGAATCAGTGCAGGAGAAAGTGGCTGCCGCTAGGTAAGTCCTGTCACTATGACTTGGCGGAGGCTGCGGGGGCTGTCGGGGACGTCCTGTCTGCTCAACTGCTCTGCGCTTGGGGAGTGGGACGTAGTGGGCACCCGGCTGCCAGCTGATCCTGTCCTTCTTCCTACAACTTCTCCCAGCCGGCAGCTGTCCCTCGGGACACCGTGCTGATCTTCCCAGTGCTGCTGCAGGGCGGACTGCAGTTTCCTCGCCTGTGATCTGGTGACCAGCTTGGTGGCTGTGGCCGGGAACTCCTGCTTCCCAGAATAATGCCGGCTCTTACTTGGCAATATTTCCAGGCATTTCAGAGAAAAGAATCTGGCCAGGGAAACACTCGCCCAGGGCCAAGGGGAAGCCCTGACTTTCAGATAACCTGTGCGGCTTTTGGTTCTTTTGCCTTGGGGAAGCCATGTGCACAGATTAAGTGGGGGTTGTTGTTGTTGTTATTTTTAAAGTCCAGCCTGAATAATTTTTGTAAGTATTTAAGAGTATCAATAAAATATCTTACACATAGGAATAACTTACATGCTTTTATAAGCTTTGCAACTTTTATGGGTAGTCTCTTCTAAAGATTTTTCCTCGTCTTTTCCTTGTTAAATTTTTTATCTGTTTTATTTTAATGTCTCCGCTACATTGTTTCCTTAAAAGTTGGATCATTCTTGATTCTTTTCTATAGTGGGGAAATGGAACTGTGGGTTAAATAATTGAAACGCAATGGCTGTTTCCTACCCTTATACGTCACCCTGGTCGGGCAAGTGGCAGGGGTTTGGTTTGGTTTTCTGTAGATCTACAGTTGATTGTGCTCTGTGCCAGCGCTGTTAAGACCCAGTTAGGACTGGCCTGCATTGGGAGGGCCTGTGCACCCACGTGGGTGGGGCTGAGGTCTGGAGGTAAGAACTGTGCCGAGGAGAGGGGAGGAGGCTGAGTTAGGACTGGTGTGAACCACAGGTAAACCGAAAAGTGGCCATGGGCCTGGGGAACGTTGGGCTGGAGAGCGAGGCCAGCCCTCCCTTGCCCCCAGCACAGGCAGCAGATGTAACTCCCGTCCCTCTCCTTGCCTTGTCTCTGCAGAACCACTTACAAGCTCGGCCTCCCCCCACCCCGGCATGAGCGAACATGTACCGGGTCCCTTGGACCTCGCCGGCGCCCCAGCACCCGCTAACGGCAGCGCCTCCTCCGCCATCCCGCAGCCCGCCGCTGCCGCCTCCAAGCCCTGGCGCAGCAAGTCGCTCAGCGTGAAGCACAGCGCCACCGCTGCCATGCTGTCCGTCAAGCCTGCCGGACCCGAGCCCCCCAGACCCACGCCCGAGGCCGTGAAGCCTGCTCCCAACAACCAGAAGTCCATGCTGGAAAAGCTGAAACTTTTCAACAGTAAAGGGGGCTCCAAAGCGGGCGAGGGCCCGGGGTCCCGGGATGCGAGCTGTGAGCGGCTGGAGATCCTGCCCAGCTTCGAGGAGAACGAGGAGCTGGAGCCCGCGGGCCGCACCCCGGCCACGTCGGGCCCCGCGTCCAGCAGCCCCAAGATCGCACTCAAGGGCATCGCCCAGCGGACTTTTAGCCGGGCCCTGACCAACAAGAAGAGCTCCCCCAAAGGCAACGAGAAAGAAAAGGAAAAGCTGCAGCGAGAGAAGGAGAAAGGCAAGGACCTCGCCAAGAGAGCTTCGGGGACTGAGAGACCGGACCTCAAGGAGGAGCCCAAGGAAGAAGCCAGCGGCCTTGCAGTGACTGAGATGCCAAAAAAGTCCTCCAAGATCGGCAGTTTCATCCCCAAAGGGGGGAAGCTGAGCAGTGCGAAGAAGGAGCCCACCGCCCCTCCCCACAGTGGAATACCAAAACCCGGGATGAAGAGCACACCCGGGAAGTCCCCAAGCGCCCCCGTGCCTCCCAAGGATGGGGAGCGGGGCCGGAGTGCGAAGTTGAGCTCAGGGGTCCCACCACAGAAGGCCCAGCTCGATGGCCGCCACTCCAGCTCCTCCTCCAGCCTGGCATCCTCCGAGGGCAAGGCCCCCAGCGGGACCACTCTGAACCATAGCATTAGCAGCCAGACAGTGAGCGGGTCCGTCGGGAGCCCCCAGACCACAGGGACCAATACTGCCAGTGTTCAGCTACCTCAGCCTCAGCAGCAATACAGCCACCCCAACACTGCCACGGTCGCACCCTTCCTGTACAGGTAGGACAGCGCATCTGCCCGCACGCCCGTGGCCTGGGCCCCAGGGAGAGCTGGAGCCTGGCCCTGCGAGGGTGGATCCACCCTGCCTCCTGGGTATCCAGTGGCACACAGCTAAGGTGTCAGTGCCTCAGTCCTAGCCAAGGCATGCGCAGCGTGCTGGCCGGACAGCTGCGCAGCATGGTCGGGGGCACTGTGGGTAGATGTGAGCCAATGCCTGCTGAGCAGGGGTTTACTAGCCGGTGGGACTGGGGCATCTCAGGAGTGGCGGAAACACAAAGGCCTACAGAACCCATGTTGTATTGGCAATATAAGCCTACAGTCATTTTTCTGTCCCCCATGCAACTGCCCCCACCTCTCTGATGCTGCATCCTCAGGACACCAGAAGTCCTGTGGAGTCAGGTGCAGCTCACTCTGGGTGGCTCTGGCTGCTGGGCCCACACCCTGTGCTTTTGCTGGTGAGCACGCCTGGGCCCAGGTCTCCATGATGCACACAGGACAGCACTGGCAGGTGCAGGCCCCGGGCACTGCACCCTGCTCACGTCAGTCCCGTGCTGCCGGTGTGTAGCGCATCTGCCCACACTGCATGGCTGGACCACAGCTAGTACCTGTACACAGCAGAAGGGGGCTGCTGACCAACTGTCATGCTCTGAGTGTGCCATTTGCAACTCCTGCGCTCACTGTACACACAATCATACATACATTCCTATACTGAATGCAGGTGCATATGCAAATACACACCTGCTCAGGAATACACGCACACACACGCACACGCACGCTGCCAGCTCTGTCTGGTTCCTAAGGAACCCAAGAGTCCCTCTCTCCCTGTCTGAGTTAGTGAAGGCCATTCCGCTTCTCACCAGAAGTACTTCCTGAGTGAAGCCAGCCCGCAGCCAACCTGCACAGGAGTTACAGGCTTCTGCCCCTCCTTCGTTTTCTTCTGGTCGTCCTCTTCAGGGAGGGTTGCATGGCTCTTTTAAATTATGAGATGGTCATCACTTTATGAAATCCCTCATCAGTTCAGCTAATGGTGCCAGACCAGTGCCAGGGTGTGACGATAGCTCGGCTTGTGTATACGCACAACTTTCATACACATGTTCTCTGAAGCGTGCAAACAACTGAATTGCTCCCATGAAATTTTTACAATTCCAGTAGCATTCCTAGTCTCATGCTAATGCATATTCAAGCTGCCGGGCCCAGACCCACAATTTGCATTTTAAAAATTAAAGTAGGTGACAGCCTTTGATCACCAAGAATCCTTCCCCTTCCCCTTACTGTCTTGACTGTAATCACTTGAGAGAGAGTAAAACATTTTACCTCATTATTACTCTTTCCAACTTATCTGTGGGAGGAAACACTTGTGTAAGACCAAGTACCTAAGGAACAGGAGGAAGGTGAAGCTTCCGGGATGGACCCCTGCAGCTTCCTCGTAATGTCCATGCTCACCCTGAGTGATGTCCTCTCTAGAAGAGCCAGGGTAGGGAGGCTGGGAGGAAGCGTGCTTGGACAGGAGACGGAGCACAGGGCTTGGGCCCTGGCTGCCCTGGGTGTTCCCACATGTGTGCGCAACCCGAGTGTGCCTGAAGACAGAGCTAAGTGCCCTCCAAGTCTTACAGAATTCTCGGCCCCAACTCCATGAGCTTGCTTGCCTTTGAAATGTCTATTTTAGGGTTGGGGGTATAGCGCAGAGGTATAAGTGCCTGCCTGGCAAGCGCAAGGTCCTGAGTTCAATTCCTGGTACAAGAAAAAAATCTCTATTTTACAGGTGTGCAAATGGAAGCTTACACTAATTAGATCGCTTGCTTCAAGCCATATCACTATAGGGTCCAGGGAGATGGCTCAGTGGAATAAGTGCTTCTCTGATAAGCGCAAGGGTCTGAGTTCAATCCCTGGTTCCGCAAAAAACAAAAAAGCCACATCACTATAACAGATGTGCTCCTGGCTAACTGGAACCTATCCAGCTAGAGGCACCAGCTCTGAGTCACCATGTTGTCTTGACTCTAAATCACCTTGTCGCTCTGAGTTTCATTGTCTTCAAGTGAGATTAGAGGGGCTTAGAGGATTTTACAAGAGGCTTATACTTCCTCTCTAAAATTTGCTCTCTTGTATTTCCACCTCCCTGTATCATGTCCAAGGCTTCCCTCTGTGTTAAATGTACTGGGGGAAAGAGAAGATCATTTCTAAAAGCCATTTGATCAGTTATATTTATCAACTCAGAAGGAATGACAGACATGACTATCACTTGGCAGTGGGCCTTTTGATTTCTGTCACTGGAGGGAAGTTGTTATTATTATAAGAGCTGGAGGGTGTCAAGAGGTGATGTAACTTAATTTGCCTGGCTACTGAGTTACGAGGGACCTTGGACCTAAAGCTACATGTCCACACCCCAAGTCTAATGTCCTCCCTCTCCAGTACCTGGAGTCTTTCTAGACTCAAATATTTCCCATTTATCCTCTCCAACACCTGCTCAGTACTAGACTTGAAATAACCTCCGCCTCCCGAGAGCTATCAACCTAGCTGAGGAAAGATTTATCAGTGGGGTTACACTGTGACCAGTAGGCACCAGGAGCAAAAGGAGAACACAGTAGAAACACAAGGGGGTGACAGCTGGCGGCCTGGAAGGATCCAGGCTGAGACCTAGGGCAATGAAAGGGGGCAGAGGCACTCTTGTCACCAGCAGGTGGCGCCCGACCTGCAGACAGCCTGGGCTCTTCAGGCTTCCATCTTTTGACGACTTTTAGGCAGAACTTCAGCTAATTCTCCAATGTTTAAATGGTAACTATCCCAAATTTCAAGAGGCAGGCCAGTTTTAAAGCTTTCCAAGACCAAGAAGAAGACATCTGCTGGCTCATCCCTATCCCAGGCTGCCGGTTGCAATCTGGATTAGAAGTAGGGTCACTGTGTCCAGGCACTTAGGCCAGCTTGGAGTTTGGCAGTGGGGCGGAGAGGGAATGAGAAATTAGGAGAATCCTTTGACCATCTCATTGCAGAAATTGGGCTGCAGTGGCATGGAAAGGAGAGCAAAGGGGGAAAGTTGGTGGCTGGCTTGAAGTGCATCAGAATAACCCCATGGCCTGTCTGTGTGCTTGTCCAACACTTCATTGGGCATTAGGGGAGTGTGAGCACAGGTTTAGCATGCATGAGGCCTTGGGTTTGTTCCCCAGCACTGAAAAAATAAAATACACTAGACAGGAAACCTCACTGCATCAGCCTGGGAGGCTAATGGAATGATAACACTATGCACACGCTATGTGTCTGAGCATAATTACGTCTTGCGTGCTCTGCCCAAGTAGCTGGGGCAAGAAAACCTTGCAAGAAGCTGTTGCCTGCCTTTGCTTGCCAAGGCCATAGGGAAGGTTTGGAAAGTACAGATTTCAGTCAAGTGTTGAAATAATGATCAGTGAGATCTTTCATGGCAGAAGAGCTGGGTTCTGAGTCAGAGTGCAGGAGGGCAAACACAGCTGCTTGGCATCCGCTCCTGACTGGGTTTATAGTCACCTTCCAGGGAGGTCACGTCAGGAGGACCGCGGGGGCGGGGCTGCTGGTGGAGTCACCGTCATGCTTGACTTTCCGGCAGTGCTAGTTGCTTAAGAGTTGCTGTTCGGCACAAGCTAAATCATCCAAAGCACCCAGTACCCTGCAGCATGGTCTGCTGGGAGGAGGCTCCCTGAGGGATTCAGAAGAGCATTCCCCAGGGAGGGGTGGCCGAGCCTCCTTCCCTTGGGCAAAGAGTGTAACATCCTTGCCAGCCTGTGGCTGGCTGGCTGTGTTCTCAGGACTAAGGCGCTATTAAGCCTCAGTCTCCAAAGCTTCTCGTGAAGGAGGATGGCAAGTCCTGCGGTCAGGGCACAGCGCTCCCCATGGTGGTTGCCTCTCGTGACAAGTGTGTGCTTTGGTTTGTGTGTGAAGGTCCCAGACAGACACTGAAGGGAACGTCACTGCCGAGTCCAGCCCTGCGGGGGTGAGTGTGGAGCCCGGCCACTATACCAAGAGCGGACAGCCTGCCCTGGAGGAGCGTGTGGGTGAGTACAGAGCCCCGGGGCACCATCTGGGGGACAAGAGCTCCCTAGCAGCCCTTGCTGCGCTGACTCCTGGGCTGGGCACACTTCGGTTCTCTTCCCAGGCGTCTCCGCTTCCTGCTCCTCTGTAGCCTCGCATGCTTCCGGCTCTTTCTCAGGATCACGAACATGTCCAACCTGTTGGTAAACTGGATGTTTAAGAGGGATTCAATTTCACTCATTTTGGGACCCTGGACCTTTGAGTCTTTTTTTTTTTTTTTTTTTTTTTTGCGGAACCAAGGATTGAACTCAGACCCTTGCGCTTGCCAGGAGTTACTTGTTCTACTGAGCTATCTCCCAGGCTCCTTGAAGCTTCATTTTCATTCTTCAGCTAATGCTGCTTTTCACCAAGATTTGGTACTCTAAAATACCAGATTCCCTCCATTCCTTATAGAAGCACAGATTTATAATGCATTTGTAACATTTTCTATTCATTAGAAAATTGCAGTATGTTTCTTCTACTAAAACCAAACCAAACCAACTGACAAACAAAAATCCCCTCCTATGTTTGATTTATCTGTAACCATAACAATGGTGATTATAGGACTATGATCCTATATAAAAACAAAACCCGTGCCTGGAGTGGTGCCACAGCCCTGTAGCCCCAGCACACTGGGAGGATGAGGCAGGAGGATTGCAAATTCAAGCCTCAGTTGGATGAATTAGTAATTTAGTAAGACCCTGTCTCAGCATTTTTAAAAAATAAAACTAAAAAGGCATGGATATAGCTCAGTGGGAAGGCCCAGGGTTCAGTTCCCTTGGGGGTTCCGGTCCCTTGCGCCAGCTGCTAATTCCACAGATTGTTTGATGTTATATTGAAACATTCTCAAGGCAGAAACTTCAGACCAGAAGTAGTAGAATGTGTGTGTGTGTGTGTGTGTGTGTGTGTGTGCGCGCGCGCATGCGCGCACGCTGTGCTTTAAGCCCACGTCATTGTGTGTGCCAGGCCTGTACTCTCCAGCTGAGCCGCATCCCCAGCCCATGCTTTAGAAGCCCCCTAGTGTGATGGCCGCTCTCCCTCCTTCCCGCTCGCGCTCTGCACCCTGAACTCTAGCAGCTTCCAATCAGCGAGTCGAGCGGTAAACCACATCGTTAGCAGAGGCCTGTCACGCCTCTCCTATCTTACCACTTCCAGAGTTTGAGTAAAAATTGAATCCACGCTGAAGATTCATTTATTACACTGAATACCCATGACCCCACCGTTTTACTAGCCATGCTGCAGCTGTGGAATCGGTCGCCACCCGTGTGATTGATTTCCCCACAGCACCACGAGCTCTGAGTATTCATTTCAGAGAGTCGAGGGGCTCTAACTGCTTCCTTCTGGTTCTGCTGGCGGGGTGCAGTGGTGGTGCCGAGAGTACTCGAGCCATTTGTAAGTGATCCGTCTCAGAATGGTTGAGGGCCCCACATTTGGGGTTGATTTTATGTTTCCTTCTTTTCTCGGTTGGGGCTCCTTTGCATGCAGATATGTGGCAGCTCGGGAAGAGGGGCGGCAGGAGGGAGAAGGGTGCAGAACGCAGGTCCCTGCTCGGCTGTCCACACACGTTCCAGATCACATCCTCCATGCGCACATCGAGCGCACCAGCCAGGCAGGAGTCCGTCATGTGTCCCTGGAGTGGCATGGAACACTGAGTCTCAGCAGAACCCACATTTGAAGAGCAAAACCAGCATCTAGAGAACATTCCAGATAGCGCCTAGATTCCGAGTGACGACTGTGGTCTGTGATCTGACACTAATCTTGCTTTTTCTTCCCCTGTCACCTGTGCCTGGGACTGTGCTCACTCCCAGTCAGCTGTCAATAAGCAAAAGGCTGCAAGCCAGGCATGCCTGGTCATATGCACTTGGGTGTAGTGGCGAGGGAGAGTCCCTTAGGGCAGGGCGACTCATCCTTACTCTCAAGCAGGAAAAAAGGTGTGTGCGACTAGACTGGATTTTTTTTTTTATAAGGATGTTGGATAGCACAAGATTAAATCCCCACAGCCCTTTAAAATGAGAGAAAATTCTCGTGCATTTAGAAGTGGGCATTTATGAGACTCGTCATCGATCACCAGCTTAGTTGCTCCCCTTGGTGCCGCAGAGGGGTGGGCTTTGCAGCGTGTGCAGTCATGCGTGGGGTGCTGAGTGCTTCTGGACAATAGTGTTAGAAGGACCCATTGGTCCCTAGCTGTCCTCCAGTCCCCAGGCCCTCTGTATAGCCTGTCCATGTGTCTCCTTCAGCCTTTACTTGTGTATTTCTGGTGATGAAACAGTTACTCCTTTCTAAGGCTGAACAACCTTTTTGTTTGTTGTTGGCTTTGACAGATAATGGACTTCTTTTTCCTTAGATGTTCAGTGGCTGGATCTTCTTCAGCCTGCTGCAGTCCGTGGGCAAGTTCAGACCCTTTCCATGTAGCAACGTGTCCCTCAAGCTTTCCTCTTCCGAGTAAACATCCTGGGTCCCTGCTATACTCCTTTTGGAATACAGTGGTGCCCTCCAGACTTGGCCAGTGTGAGTGACAGAGTGAGCAGTCAGAGCCAGTGGCTTGAGCGAGGGTTTTCCTTGGCACATTTAGGGTTGCTGCAGGTAGATAGGGCGTAGCTGATTAGTTTCTAAAGATCTTTAAAGGAGTTGATCTTTAGAGATCAAGGTCTCCTAGCTCCTCAGGAGCTTGGTCATGATTTTACTTTGTCTTAGTTACTTTTCTCACTGCAGAAATACATATCCAACACCCAAGTTCCATGAGGAAAGGTTTATTTGGGTCACGGTTTGTAGAGGTTCAGTCCATAGTTAGCTGGCTCCAAGGCCGGCTGGCTGGCAGAGGGGGCGTCACAGAGGCAAAACAGTCCACGGCAAAGAAGAAAGCAGCAGACAACACAAAAGCAAGTGACAAGCCACTTTCTGTCCCTTGTATCTTACCCAGGCTGCCTACCCTTAGAATACGTCTCCCACACTCTTAGTCCCGGCATTGCATCCTTGATCCCAGCGTGGCGCACCTTAGATTCAGCCACCACCAGAAGCCCCGCCTGTGACTGCCTGAGGCTTTAGGGGGACGTGTAGAGGCAAGTTTAGGCTTAGGTTTGGTGGGAATCTTACACTCCAGCCTTGTCTGTCATAGTTGGCAGCGGAGGATGGGATCTCCGGAGCACATCGGGCAGGATCCCTGCTTGTGCTTCGCCAGGGTGGTCTGTACTAGCATGGGGCTCCGAGGTGAACAAACACTTTGTGGTGGGACCCCAGGAGAGAAACAGAACTGAGCTTTCTCTTGGTGCGAAACTTGCATCTGAGTCTCATGAGAACTCTGATGAGGGGGGGGGGCGTGTTTAATCCCACTTTACAAATGCGATCAGGACAATAATCCTCCACATGCAAGCGGCTGATAAGTGATGATACGTGCTTCTTAGGCACCTGTGGCTTTCTGTGAGAGTCACCAGAAGTGACACTGTCCCCAAACTCAAAGACTTTTGAATGTCTTTTGTTGTTGTTATTATTGTTGTTGTCATCCCCGGCCCCTGTTGTCATTGTTGCTTTGCAGTGTTGGTTTTTGGTTTGTTTTTTTTTTAAACAGATAAATTTGTTTTTTAATAAAGGAGTTAATTTTCTTTCAATCCTCTATAAAACAATTGCAATTAAAAACTTCATTTTTTTGAAAGTAAAATATTTATATATGAACAAGTAACTGTGCAAAGTTTACATGAAAAAATGGAAAGACAAGGATTTCCTAAAAGATAAAATAAAAGGTGTAACAGTTCTCAGGTGTTGATAAAAAATACTGATCAGCATTCAGTTCACACGCACGAATTAAAGTCTAAAGTGAAAATTCACACAGAGAAAGACAAAGTATTTACAGTCATAAAGTACTATCAATAGACAATTTAATACAATAACCTCTGAAAATATAAAGAACCAATTAGTATATTTGTAATAAAAAAAATAGGTACAAAGAAGGGGCTTTGCTCTGGACGTCTGTAAAGTTGACCCACAGCAAAATAATTATAGTTTACATGTCCATTTCTATGTTGTGCCAAAAATTGTGTACAATTACTGACAAAATACACCAACCATTTTTCAACACTTGATGCACGCAGTGTTGGTTTTGCACACCTAGGACCTCACACCTGCCGAGCACAGACTCTAATCCCTGAGCTACAGCCTCAGCCCAGATCTCTGAATTCCTAAGGAGAATTAAGTCAGGCAAATGCACCAGTAGTCATGCCATGCATGAGTGGATACTCCTTCACACGTGATACATGGAGGCAATTTGGAACCTGGTGCCTACTTACACTTAGCTTCCTAATAAGCACTCATTGCAGGGTCTAGAGTGGTCTAAAGATCGGCACCTTTTCAGCCAATAAAATATAGCCAAATTGGTGGTAAAAAATACTTGATTGATGGCCCAAAAGGTGGGTGTCCATGACATTCCTCCAAAGCCATTAGGGGACAGTGAAACAGGCCTCAGTTGCTGCCTTCATTCCCAAAGCCCTGTGCGCATCTACGCAGGGCGCGTGCTTGGGTGGGAGATGCGGTTCGAGTGCTGTTCAGATAAAAAGTGCCTCCTGGTTGCTCTGGGTTCAAAAGGGGTAGAAAATTGAAACCATTTGTACTTTCAAGATGAGAGAGTTGGCCACAGTAAACGTCCTCCATAAAAATCAAGTGGCTGCCATTCACGATGCCTGCCAGACCCCAGGCACCGTGTGCCAGGTGCAAGCCCAGGAGGTAGTTATCCAGCCCGGAAAAGAAGTTTAGTTCTCTGACAGCTCTCTGATGCCGTGGCCCTCTAAGCGGCAGCCACTGGAAGTTCCCCTTGGCGTCTACCCTGCAGCCCCTGCCCACTGCCTTCGTACACTATGGTCTCTAAGGAGATTTCTTACAAATTATTGCTCCTTAGAGACTTCGTACAAATTGCTGCTTCGTGCTTAAAAAGTCGGGAGCTTGTGAAAGCCCTTGATTGTGGTTCCTCAGTCTGCTCAGCCCTTCCCACAATTATGGAGGAGAGGAAGCTTTGAGTCCTTTCATCATTATAGTGATTTCCCTTCTGCAGTTCCCTTGTGAGTACAGGGGAGCAGTCACCAGCAGCCCCAAAGCAGGGCTGTGGGGAGCGACCCTTGCGGGGCGCTTGCCTGTGGGTGGCCTACTGCTCAGGGTGCCTCAGCACCGCCTCCAACTCCCCTGGGCCGGCCCAGTGTCTCCTGGAAAGTCCTGCCGCAGAGCGGCAGGCTGTGGTCCTGGTAGAGCAGACCGCCCTTGCCCATTTGCTTCTTGCTCCTTACACTGCGGGGGCGTGCAGAGTGCCTGCGGGGGGTGCCGAGTCGCAGGCCCCTTGGGTGCCTGCTGCTCTTCTCTGAGCTCGGTGCTGTCCACATTGGGACTCAGAGGGACCAAGGAGACCCACAGCTAACCACATAGTCAGTGGGGAGCTCGGATTTGAGGTGATGTCGTTGCTCTGACAAGGAGCACGCAGACCTCCCTCTGTAGGATTATGGGTGATAAATAAGTGTAGGTCCAAGGGCTTGGGAAGCCTGAGGTCCTGAGTTCAAGTTCTAGTATTCAAAACAAAAACGAGTGTATGTCTTTTAGCCATCACAAGCTCTTTTTATAAATCAGCGTCCATCACCAATAGGTGAGAAAACAGCACATTGACCTGGGCAGGCCTGACTTGTGCTTGTCTTCCGTGGAGAGATAGGAAAGTCTCGCCTGCATCTCAGCCTAGCGCTCTGCTAGACTTCGCCCCCCTCGGGAGTGAGCTGGAGGAAGGACTCCTGGGACTTGATCCCTCCTTCCTTATAGGAATGGATTCAGCCACTGTCGGCTTCCTAAGTCCCCAGAAGCATCCATAGCGAGCCAACAGCTCAGCCTGGAGGAGGTCACAGCCGTGACCCCTCTTGCTTCCTGTTGCCCGCGGTGTGTCACAGAGAGGTCACAGGCTTTGCCTCTGTTCCCAGGGGAAGACCCCGAGGCCCGGCGGCTGCGGACAGTGAAGAACATCGCTGACCTGCGGCAGAACCTGGAGGAGACCATGTCCAGCCTACGGGGAACTCAGGTCACACACAGGTATCTGCCACCGCGTGCGTCACTGCGCTGCGCTTGCAGGGAGCTTGGGCGGCACGGGGTTTCCTGTGCTTGTTCATGCTGCCCCTGGAGTGAGTTGATGAACAACAAAATAAATAAACATGCTCCCAAAAGTGCTAGAATTCACAGGCGTGCCAGCGAACACGTAAGAGGCAAGCCCAGAGGAGGAATGTCAGCGTGGACAGATTCCTAACCAAAGCAGGCCGCTGTGGGCTCCCTCCGCAGAGGGCACTGGCGAGCAGCGCCTTTGAAACTTCCCTTCACTTGCATTTTCCACAAGCATAGTGTACTATTGAAAAGAGGTGAACTGTGTTTGACCCATGTGATAAATCAGATAACTTGAATTCCTACCCAGTCTTCTGATACCCAACACCCCCGTAATATCGTTAGTCACACACGTGAATAAAACGCATCAGGAAATGTTGATGAAAAACCTACGATCGTGTTTAAACTGCGGTTTAGTTGCAGGGGACCTAGGGTTGCATCAGAAATATTTAGCAGGTTGTTTTCATTGTTCAGCAAGGAGTGGAAGAGGCTGCCACCCTGAGTTGTCCCTTGTGACTCTGGTCGGGTGGGCACTCACAGTTTGTATTTGGCTGTGGAAATCAAAGGGAGAGAACGGTTACCCTGCTGAACTTCCAGGCCAGCTCCATCGCTTCTCTGATTTCAGTTTCTTTGATAAATCAGCATGGGGAGGAGACCAGGCTCCCCAGTGTCAGAAATTTGGCAGGCCCAGCTAAACCGCTGTGGTTCTGTCCTCATCTGGACCCAGGGGCTCCACATGCAGAAAGTGAGGCTGCTTCCAGGACTGAGTAAGGGGCATCAGATTGGCTCTCCCAGAGGACAGTGAACTTGGGGGCCTGGGGTGAGGATCTGCTCAGACTTTATTTATTTATTTATTTATTTATTTATTTTTGGCAGAACCAGGGATTGGACTCAGGCCCTTGTGCTTGCCAGGCAAGCACTTATTCTACTGAGCTGTCTCCCAGCCCCAAAACTTTGACTTTCTTCTTTTTTTTTTTTTTTTTTTTTTTTTTTCAGTACCGGGGATTGAACTCAGGACCTTGTGCTTGCCAGGCAAACACTTACTCTACTGAGCTATCTCACCAGCCCTCTGCTCAGACTTTAGGTATTAGGAGAAGTGGAGCCACAGGATGCGGGGCCTTGTGCCTCCCGGCTTGGGTATAAGGCATCATTCTGTGCACCACAGGCACCGCAGCTGGCTCTGTGTTGATGCATCATGCCCTGGTGGACTTCTTGGCTTACCCTGAACGGGTGATTGTGACAGGAGAAAAGGCTTCGGTGTTTTTCCTGCAGGGCAGGACGTCACTCTGCCCGGTCCAGGTGCCTCGTGTGGCTCTGAGGAGATGGAGATGCCCAGCACCCCATGCCCAGAGCCTGCAGACCATGGGATGCAAGAGTCTTCCTGAAGCCCACGATGAGCCCAGGGCCCTGGCAGGTGACGATCCACAGCACTTCAGATCTTAGAGAGCTCAAGCCGCTATCCGCCAGTCTTTCTCGGTGTTTTCAGATGAAATGTGGCAGGAGCAAGAGTTGGGTGGCAGCGGGCACTGAAGGGATGGCAAGCCAGAGTGCTGTCCACTTCCACAGTCAGGACGAGCCGCAGATGGGAAAGTGATGCTAGGAGCCCCAGGGTGCTCGGAGCACCCTGCCCTTAGAGATTGGTGGGTGGCGGGGAGCCCTAGCCGCACGGCCAGGCAGGCACCTCCATGCGCCTTCTGTTAGTCCGCCAGCTCCTGTTTCCTTTCCACTGTCAGAAGGGAAGTTCTCATGGTTAGATCCTCTCACTCAAGAAGGTGCTAGAGTGTCTACACTGAAGGGCAGAGTTCCCGTGAGCTTTACAGAATATTACACAGATGCACCGGGGCCTGTGTTCATTTTTAAGACAGGAAACACACCAGGGCTGCCTGGTTTTATCCTACTTGATGTATGTAGCATGTTTTTTCCTTCTAAAACAATTAGAGGACACCTGAGCCGCCAGGGATCCCAGGCACTGCCAGCCTGACCCACACTGCATTTGTGTTTTCAGCACATTGGAAACCACGTTTGACACCAATGTTACCACGGAGATAAGCGGCCGCAGCATCCTCAGCTTGACGGGGAGACCCACTCCTTTGTCCTGGAGACTCGGCCAGTCCAGCCCTCGGCTGCAGGCGGGAGACGCCCCCTCCATGGGCAACGGGTACCCGCCTCGAGCCAATGCCAGCCGGTTTATCAGTGCCGAGTCAGGCCGCTACGTGTACCCGGCGCCTCTACGGAGGCAGCTGGCCTCCCGGGGCAGCAGTGTCTGCCATGTGGATGTCTCAGACAAGGCAGGGGAGGAGGCGGACCTGGAGGGCATCAGCATGGACGCGCCCGGCTACATGAGCGACGGGGACGTTCTGAGCAAGAACATCCGGGCTGATGACATCACGAGCGGGTGAGTACCTGGGCCTCCTCCCTGGAGGAGTCGGAAGTGGCTTGGTGTCTGGCTTCCCCGAGGTCTCACGACATCAGGCTGCCTGCTGCAGGGAGCAGGCTCTGGCGGGCAGTTAGCAGACCTGGTGTGCAGGCCTGGCAGGTAACCATGATGCCCTACCAGCTGCCATGTGACATTGGAAAATAAAGCTTCTGCGGCAATCCATCCCTCCACTAACCTTGCGCTGGGTGCAGAGTGTGCATGGTCCTGCAGGCACTGGCCCTTAGCTACTCCTAGGACCCGTCCTACCTGGCTCCCGCTGCTGCTGTCCTTCCTACCATTTGATCTCCAGAATTTTCTGAGCCCCACTTCATGTGCTCCTTCTGGGCATGGGTGGTACCCTAAAGATCCCCGCCTGGGTGGCTGCCTCCCATCATGCACGCAGCCAGTGGCTTCTCCATCAGATGTGAAGTAGCTCATGTCCTGACCCCTGCCGAGCCACCTGCCTCACTGTGTGTTGGGCTCTTTTGAAAGCCTGTCGGGGTTTCAACTTGTCCCGATTCTACGTTTGTCTCTTGCGGTGACCCCACCCGCTCCCTGCCAGCAGCAGTGGCTCCAGGAAGCCAGAATGTGATGCTGCTTGTTTGCCACGGAACCCCTTGCATGTCATGCGCAGCAGGGGCTTGTGGGTACTGCTGGAGTGATGAGTGTGGGGGTGTACATGTGGAGGAAGCCTCAGACCCGCCCTCTTGTCTTCCAGTGTGTTCCAGTGTAGAGCTGAGGCTCAGCAGCCCTTAAGGTCTGGGCAGGGGAGGAGCCCGGGTGTCAGGTAGCCAGAGGCCTGGCTGCTGGGCCTGGCTCAGCAAGGTCCCTGCGTGAGCTTAAGATGCACCTCTTTGTTCCATTCCCTGCGACTTCTTCATCTCTATTGTAATTTGCCCGGAAGTTCTTCAAGGCCTTTTGCACCGCTACTGTTCTAGCAACGAAAGCTATAGACAAGAAAGATCACAAGTAATAATCAGTCACTGGTCCCCAGGAGCGTGGCGGTCAGGGGCTCCATGGGCGAGTCAGTGTTCTCCTAATTCTAGCTCCAGGTGACTTTCCTGCGCCCAGCCCTCTGCTTGACCCGCATCATCTTGCTCTGCACTTAGAACACCCCCGTCTCATTGATCAGGAAACCAAAACCCAGGAAGGTGAGCTCATTGGCCCAGGGTTACACAGCGGGTACGAGGCGAACCCAGAGAGCTAGGGAGTCTTTATCCCGTAGCCTGAGCCGTCTCGTCCAGATCAGACTGCTTGGCTGAGACAGCGCAGCAACCCTTGAAAATTACGTTAGTTTTGCACAGCTCTGGAAGTTTCTTGTCCGTATGCCTTTTTCAGTGCTGGAGATCGAACTCAGGGCCTTTGTGCTGAGCTACATGCCTAGCCATACAGTTGCTAGATTTCCCAGAACTTTTGATCCTTCTGCCTCAGCCTCCAAGACTGCTCAGATGACAGATGTATGCCACCACACCCCGCTTAAAAATGTTGTTATCTAACTAAAAGTATGGATTTAGAGGTGGCTTTGTTTCCAGGCTGTCACTTGGAACCATCTGGGTAATAACATCTTGCAAAACAGGAACACCAAATGCTTCCAGTAGCACAATTTCTGCTACCCAGTGTATCTGGGGAAACCAGGGCACAGATAAACTCTGGTCCACTGAGAGCGTACTTTGCATTTCTAGCCTGCCCTACAAATAAAACACAGCGCTAGTCACCTATTGCCAAGATAGAATTGTACATAATGTAATCTTTTATTAGTGTTTGGAAGACTTCTGGGGTCCACAGTGACCTCAAGTTCACCATTACAATCATTTTATCCCAAAGGTGGCTATTTTGAGACTTTTTTTTTTTTTAATGTATTTGGTACAAGGTCTCACTATGCAGCTTGGACTTGTGGTGATCCTCCTGTCTCAGCCTCCCCAGCACTGGGATTACAGGCGTGCGTCACCATACCTGGTCTCGGCGACATCTCAGCGGGCCTGGGAACAGAGCCAGTGCAGCGTGTGGTGCTGGGGATCGAACCCTGGTCCCTGCTCTTGCCTAAGCAGACTGGCCTTTATTTTGAGGCGCTTTTTTTTTTTCCTGGAGGTACCAGAGATTGAACTCAGGACCTTACTCTTGCCAGGCAAGCACTTATTGTACTGAGCTGTCTCCCCAGCCCTTTGAGGCTTTTTAAAACCCTCAAGTAGTTTATTTTTTGTTGAATTTGTCAACCTGTCTGCATAGGTCAATGGTCAGGGAATTAATTTTTCTGTACTGCCGATAGTGACCACAAGGTGGAGACATAGGTACACCCCAAACTCAGATCAGCGCCTTCCCCGGGGAGAAGTTCTTAGGCTTCGCAAACCCGAGCTCACGAGCGTGTGTTTACATTTCAGTGTGTGCTTTGCAAAGCTTACATTTTTAGCATGTGAGATAGCGCTTGGAGTGAGTGTAGATAAAAAAGCGGAAATTTAAACAAACCACTCGATTACTGAAATTGGAGAACTGCGGTCTGGTTTTTCTTCCCCTGATCCTTTGACTATAGAAATGTCCCGTTCCAGTGAGGAGGGCCCAGTGTCATTCACTGTTCCCTGTACTCGGAACGTTCCAGAACTCTTGTTCAGCATGTCTCCGGCCGTGAGAAGGCCCCAGTTTCTGTCACGAGACCAGATTCCCCTTTGCTCTCCCTGCTGAAGCCAGGGCAAAAGTCCCCTAACGTCCTGCTGTTTATATCGACTGCACAGGTTGGGAGCACTGAAAGATGGGCCACTCCTTCTGTTCCTCAGAATCTGCTAAATGGCTCGGTGTGGGGGTTGCTGGGGTGGGAGGGAGGGGGACAGACTGCCTGCCGCTCAAGGACTCTGTGCCATCAAGCCTCGAACTTCCCACCGCCTGGAAGCACATGGCGCAGGCCTAGCCTTCTGCAGTAAGATTTCTCTTAGAGATTGTAGTTGTTGTTTTCATTCATTCGTGCTTGCAGGTTGCGTGATGGCTCTCATTACAGGCTCTTGCTCCTTCAAGAAAGACCTGTCTTTCCATTTCCTATTATCTACCTATTGTTTTGCTCTTAAGTTTATTTATACTGTGGACTTTTTATATGCAAGAAACCATGCTATATTCAAGCATGTATGTCTGGTTTATTACCTTACACTCTCAAGATGCATCCATTCTCCTTCAAATACTAAAATGAGCCCTTCTTCATAGCTGAGTAGTACTCCATTCTGTACAGTTTTCCCATTCATCTGTTGAAGGACATAGAGGCTGCTTCCAAAACTAAGTTAGTCTGAGTCGGGCTGCTATAAACACGGTGTGCCTGTATCGCTGTGTGATGATTTTGTGTTCTCTCAGGAAGGTGCCCGGAGCTGTATTTGATTAATGGCAGCTGTCCAACAGACACAACATTTCCACCAGGCCCTCAAACACTCCGGCACTTGGAAGCCACGAAATGATGACAGTTTGCATATGGATGTTCATTTGGCTCAGTGCAAGCCTAGCTGCGGTGTGTGCGTGATGTGTCCTCGGGGGGAGGTTTCGCGCCCAAGTAGCAGGACGTGCAGATGGGAGCCCTAAGGTGGACATCATGGCTACTTCTGCAAACCAAAGACCTTTGTTTTGGCAAGTGGCCCTGTACGCCAGGTCGCTGTGGCAGCTCTTCTGTGATGTGTTGCTTGTGTTTGTCACTGGACGTGGGTGCCGTGCAGCTCTCCCAAGGGCGGGCTAGAGCTCAGTGGACAATGCCTCTTGGTCGTGTGTGTGTGTGTGTGTGTGTGTGTATGCGCGTGTGCACACGTGTGTGTTATCCAAGCCCTGCATTGCTCAGAGCTTGTGCCAGGCACATCAGCTTCGCCATCTAAGCTCGCCACTTCTTATTAGCTTGGTAAATTGGGTGTGGGCTATAGTTGAAAATAAATTAAAATGACAGACAAGGATGTCTCTTATTATGTTTTGATCTCTGAATTCAATCCTGTGCTCATGGGCTAAGAACTCAGCGTACCATATGGTTCAGAAGAGAATTAAAAGGGTGCACTTAGCGCCCATATGTGTCGGAGGCCTCTCTTCTTTTCAAAGGAAGCACTAAGTTGTGTAATTGTCCAATATGTAGCTATCCATCCTTTCTAGAAGGAAAAAAAAAGGATCGTTTAAATTTAATATCAAAAGTTGGGCTGGGGAGATGGCTCAGTGGAATAAGCACTTCGCTGGCAAGCGCAAGGTCCTGAGTTCAATCCCCAGTTCCACCAAAAAAAAAAAAAAAAAAAAAAGAAAGAAAAGTTTTCTCCAAGAAACTTTGAAGGTGTCCATGGCCTTTGGGGACAGATCAGATCTCCTTAGCTGAGCAGGGAAGGCCCGCAATGCTGCTGGCCTCACCTGACTCCCCTGCCTTATGTGGCCACATGCTCCCTCGTCGCCACCCCAGGCCACCTGCCAGTCCCAATATTAGAGCCCTGCGCCAGGGGACAGGTGCCAACGCCCCGGAACTCCTGTCCGCAGGAGCCCAGCCTGCTGCACTAACACCGTTTCCCTTGGTCTCCTGCTGGACCCAGCCTTGGACGTAGCTGTGGGTCTTGGCCTATGCATAAACAGTGTCGAAGCCTTTAGCTTGAAGGGCCGAGAGATCTGGCTGGTGGCAGACGGCACGATCTTCAGGACTCCACACACGTGGGGATCAACCCCGCTGTGCCCTTTCAAAATCAGAGCCAGAGGCTGGCGCTTCGTGGAGAATCAAAGATGCTCTAGATGTGCACTTGCTCTCCCGTGCGCATGCGTGGGTCTTTCCCCACGGGGGACTCCTTATTTGTCCAAGCCCAGAGTGTAAGGTACAGTAGGATTCGTGTTCTGGGTGCCCGCCCTGGCAGAACCTTGGGCGTTCGGAACTTGCCACCTCCAGCAGGGAGGCTCAGCACTTGTATTTATGGAGCCTTTGGAGGACACAGACCCGGCCACGGGGTCCCTCTAGTGGCCCAAACAGGGTATGACTGTGGCTTCCACAGCTTTCCGTT